CTGCTACAAAAAACTGCAATTTTTGTTTGCTATTCATATGTGCTTCCGAATTTCTGAAACTGCCGAAGATATTTGAAATGTAAGTACATCACTTTAAAGCTTATCCATTCCACTTTCAAATGCCACAACCACATTAAAATATATGCAGTGAGTGCAATATAGTGTACTGCTGAAAACCGTCCTTTTTTTTGGGCCCACCCTGTAGTCCAACTAGAGAAATTGAAACACCCACTCCTGAATGGTCCTATTTTCCATCTCTGGGTCATCCTATGTAAACCCAACAAATCATTTATAATGGCGCCTGACCATTTTGGATTTCATGATAAGAATTATCAACCACTGCAATCAATCTGACTTCCCCAGGGGAAAAAAATAGACCCCAACAGATCTGCAGTTAGCAAGATATTGCCCCCCAAACTTTGGTGGTTAGAGGAAAACAGAAAAACCCCAGAGATAGTAGAATGTCCATCTTAGGAACTGTTCATCATAGAAATATTGAAAAATGGCACAGAAAATCTAGAATGTCAATGACATGATAAGGAAACCCAAACACATCATTATCTCAAACATTTCTAATACCCACAGACTGCAATTTGTACCCAAGGACTTTCAGTGGCACAAACACAAGGTGCATACCTTGTAGTGGATACTAAAACAATAAGCATGTAGAAACTAACACAAGCCAAGCTGATTTTTCATTTGGTTTGAAACAATCAATACAAGAATTTTAAAACTTGACCCAACTTTGGCAAGTCTTCTTTGATATGGTGTCTCAAAAACTGACCCTGGAGAAGTGACAAAGTAGTTGTCCTTTGCAAAGTTTTTCTGATTTTCAAACAGCAAGAAGTGGCTGGTAGCCAGGTCTTGAAATTGTCCCCACATAGAGTAGTAAATGGTAACTATTGCTTGAAAATTGAAAGAATCCAAAGACAATGCACTAAAAGCTCTTGGGATGTTATATCCCCCTGTGACATAAAGATGAAGACTTGAACAAAAGTTACCAGAGTTGAAATTCTTATAAAAGAAAGATGATCCTGTTTAGAATTCCATTAAATAAATCAGCCCCATCAACCTTATTTTTTCCAAGTGCATGTTTAATACTGTGTGTATGAGGATTGCACCACAGCACCTAATTCTCAGAATGTGAACAGCATAAGCAAAACAGCTTCAAACCAGCAAGTGACCTCCCCCACCCCTCCCAATGCAAACCATGACAAATATCAGCTAGAAACCACTTTCCAAGGATGCCAAGCAGGGCAGTACAAGAACCACCTAGGAAAAAAAGTTAACCTGGTTTATCACCAAGTACATCCTACAATCCTGGTGCAATTAGTGAGTGAGGTGATGTACGCAGAGAGTAAAAAGCTACACCTACTGCCAAACTTATCTGATACAAACCTATAGTTTTGAGGAGGAATTGACAGAAACATAGTATTAGTCATGAATGAATATTGTAAAGCTGCAACAGAAATACCACGTCATTCCCAAAATACCAACATTTTATATAGCCTATATTTCTACAATTAATATCTTGAGTACCAATTGACATATAGGCTTTACAAAACTATCATATTCAAAATCAGGGGAATCACAAGAACCAGAAAAAGAGAAGTGATAAGCTAAAGGAAAAAGCTCATAGATGGCTTCAATTTTAAGCCTAGAAAAGAACTGCTCAACACTTGCTTCATCTGAACTAGTCAGACAAGTCTAATTCTACTGATCAGGGTTCCCTATTCATTAACCCTTTCCCTGGCATTGGCATAGTTTTACATTGACATCCTCAAAGTGTTCGGATATCCCGGCCAGGGAAAGGGTTAATATATGTATAGCCCTGCTTTAGTGTGTAATGTCTTGGAGTGCATCACTAGCATCCATAATGTACTTGACAGTAGTTCCTTCAATCCCATAGCATGTTACTCATGAAATCCTCAGCATGAACCAGATACTAGCAACTAGCAACCTATTAGCTATAAATCCTAAATCATATAAAACTTCTAAGAAAATGTTCATCAGAACCTTGCTTATGAGTGCTTTCCTCAGATTGGCACAGGACATACTTGACAATGGTCACTCATATCACTCAAAAATTGTCAGAACTTCACAATAGACATTTCACTTGATGTCACAACAGATGACTCCACAATCATGAAGACCATTAAATCACTTTCAAAAGCACTGCTTAGGCTTAGCATATTTTGTGTAAGCTTATATGCAAATCATGTATGATTTCCCACAGCCAAGTGCTATTCTAAACATCAAAATGTACCAAGACAGCACAGTACCATATGTGAAATGCATACAGATCTATTTTCTACACTGATACAGCAAAATATCAAGCTGCATGTACATCTTTATTTCCTGAGGATAAAAAGTAGACGAGGCCCATACCATAAGTTAGTAATAGGGACAACAGCATGAACCTTTGATTATGGCAAAATGGTGCTGCTGAGGAAAAAATGACAAATTAGACTTGCTGTGTGCTTACTAAGTTATCTTAAATGAAAACAGCTATAATAGTTATACTGTAGCTCACCTGCAAAAGAATACCAAGATGTCCAAAGACCAGGTGGTGCAAAAAAAACCTATCCTGATTGATGCCTTATGAAGTCAACTCTGGAAATTCAAGGTACTTTATTTTTCAAATATCATATAGGAAACACTACAAAATTTGTTCCTTAAAAGTCTCAAGTGTCTAGGTCTCCTGGATAAAAATTGATTGTCATGAATTTCTTCCATCATGTATGAGATTGATGCAGTCTTAGCACTGATCAAAATATTTATTTCCTTTGATGCTGTAGAGCAAGGTTGTCAGGGGGAGTCCTTTTCAACAGTTGGTTATGGAAAAGTACTGCAAATTTCAGCCTGCTTGCATAAAAGATTTGGCGTTCGATTTTCATTGTGGAATCACCCCAGAAGGCTTCCATCTGACCCTAATCAAGCTAATCTGAGCCTAATTGAGTTTGACACTCCTGCTGTAGAGTGTGCTATTCATGTTGTGGCCATGTCATAGGATTCTCGATTGTGTAGTACTAGGAGAGGGAAGAGAATATCGAGAATTTCCTATCAAATCATGAACTCTGTTCTGCTGAGTCTCTTACCTCTCTAACTCTTCATTTAATGAAACAACTTTTCCCTTTTAAGATAGACCATTGTTACACTGCATAGTCAAGAACATTGCATTAAGAATACAGTCATAAGAAGCAGCCTTTGTAGCAACCTAGAGACTTCAAAACTTTCATGAAGCAAACTTTTTATTGTTTTCTGGATTATAAAAAATATAGACAACTATAGAATTTCTACAAGTTTTATAAAGCCTCAAACAGAATGTTTTTTTCTTGCATCACCCAGCATATGCATTACTGAGCATCAGGACACATTGTGACACATTGATGGAGGAGGCATATTGAAATGGCATAGCACTGAGTTGCACTTCAGCAATCCATGGAGTTGGTCAATAACTTGTCAGTTGCTTACATACAATCACTGATTTTTCACCCATTGTTAAAGGGTAATTTTTATCTCAATGGCAAATAACCATAAATAACCATGCACAGTGATATGCTGATCTGTCTGCCACCTATTGTCTATTAGTAGTTTCCATCTCTTACATACACTGAACACCAAAAGGTCCAGAAAATAATTTTACCAATAAAAGCATAAAGGTAGTGGGGGCCAAATATACCACCAAGCTATGTAAGGCTCCACATTTCACTGGTTCTTAGGGATTCTTAGTCCATTATTATAGTAGCCTCTGTTGAACAAGACAAGGTGAATTTACCTTTCAGATGCTGTTCAAATTTTTTAAATCAATGCATTCCTGCAAGGAGTCAAAATTGACTCCTTGGACCTTTAAGTGGATTATATTGCATCATTCAATTAAGCTTGAATAGCAAGTGTACATGAATATAAGAACTGTGATAATTTCTCCTCTTCAGTGAAAGTTTGTTCAAAAGATTGATAAAATTTGAGTAAATCTCCCCAGTCCTCCTTCTTCAGGGTCTAATTGAAGTGCATCCCAAGCTTTTTTGAAGCCCCCAATGAACCATACCATTTGAAATAATATATGTTAATGGTCTATTGGAAACAGGATTATCATTTTGAGACCTACAAAGAAAACAAGCTTAATCCCTTAACCACTGATTAATTTTCTACTCTTTCAAATTTTTTTGAGTTAAAAATTATAACTTTTATTTTGACAATGTTGTACAAATCAGTAAAGTGATAATTTACAATATAGATGAACAAAAGTGGATTTTCAATCCTTCAACACCATCACCTCTTCTTCTTGATAGCAGTTTATAAGTTCTTTACTGTGTTGTAAGAAGGAATCAGATGACACTCATACACAGTTGATGCTATTAAGGGGTTAACAAAGCCCAGTTCAGCAATACCTCCTTCGAGTGCACTGTCATACAGAGAAAAAGTGAAATAATGGGTTACAAAAAGAGAAGTCAGGAAGAGGATGCTTGGGGATTTTGTAACTTAAAAAGGATAACCATTCATTTTAGTCAATGCTGCAATGGGGCTAGGTTACAAGGGGGAAAAAGGTATGAATAACCAAAAACTACATTGGAGACTAGGAAAAGCAATTATATTTAAGCTGGAAGGCATCCAATTCCATTTGAACACCAGCACTTTCTGGAATTTCAATGCCCTCATTTCTCCATCAATCCATCACACACGTGACAAAAGTTAGGACTAATATAGGCTAGGCAAGAAATTGCATAAGGCTTCTTCCTTACAGGCTTCTCCTGCATATGTAACAGCATTGAGCATTTCTTTCTTTTTGTCATAGCAAATTTCAAGCATACAGAGCACATTTAGAAATAATATTAACAGACAGGTACATAAGCTAAAATGGATCATATTTAGGGAAATAAATTTACTCCTGAAACTCTCATGTAACAGAAAATTCACATAGCTTTGTGAAAAGCCAATAGAGAAGCCCACAAATTATGCAATTGACAATACATTATGTAGAAAATGAAGACTTGAATTACCAGGGACTCCACATGATTCAGAAGATATGACCAGCCATTGAAATCATGTGGATTCTCTTGCACAAACTTCCAGTACTGGTCAAGAAGGCTCAACCCTGAATTGCGATCATTTGGATTCCCTTGCAGATGTGCAAGGGGGTGGACTGAAGTTGGCTGAGCTTGGTTAGCATCTGATGACTGAGTTTCACTACTTTCTGGGGCATGAGTAGGTCGTGGTTTTGGCTGAATTTCATATTCACCTCGATCATTCTTCCGAACATCATCTACCATAACATCTTCAGCAGTGAAATCTGAATCATTGACTGGTGGATAGTAGTTACCAGGGTTGTCAGGATCAAGGCTGCTCTGATGAGGGTTGGATACAGGAGTTTTCTGATTTTGGGGTGGGCCATAAACAAGAGGATGGGCTGAAGGAAGGGGAACTGGAGGTTGGGGGTAATTGCGGATGATGTCAGCCACCTGAGGATGCATGCCCATGGAGGGAGCAGCCCCAATCTCTTGATAGAAATGTGCTTCAGCATTTTGGACAGGTCCTTGATATGACTGTGGCTGAGGGGTGGTGTGATATCCTCCTGAATAAGGTCCAGGCATGGGCTGCTGATACATGTCTTCGTCTGTACCACAAGGCCTAACCTTGGAACCAGTAGTCAAATTCTTGTTTGAAGATTGAAATTTCTTTGGCACCCCAGAAACTGCAGAAAGCTTATTTTGAACAGCTTCAGGAGGAATGAAGGATGCTTTCAAGTGTAAGACACTTGTAATAGCTAAAGGAGGATGGTGTTTTTTCTTCCTTGACTTGTTCCTATTAGAGCTGCTGCTCATAGGTAATGAAGTTTCTCTGAAACATAACACCTATTTGAAAATATGACACTTTCATAGCTTCACACAACAAAGAAGTCTATGCACAACCTGTGGGAGAAGAAAAAAAGGACAATGAACATATCAGATTCAAATTTGGTCTTCTTTAATTTTGGGCACTCCCAAAATCACAGGCCACTATTCACAGATTTTTATACTAGGACCAGTCAAGTGAAAACATCAAAACTTGCACAAAAAATCATACAAAAGATGCAACTTTATGAAATCATATATGATCTTAGGTACATTGGTGCAGTGCTGCAAATGTAATTGGCACCACTGCTTGTTAAAGGTTACATGCACTAACCCGGTCAAGATGGCTACCTCCATTGAGTGCATCTGAGGAACATCATAGGGCTATGATACAATCTTTGTATATAAGGAGCAAAACCACTTGATGTCCTCCACAGAATCATTACTGTTTATGGCAAAATATGTTTGTCCCAAAGATAAGTATATGAATGGTGCCAAATGTTTCAAGACAGAAGCCTATAATTTGGGGACAAACCCGAATCCTGATGAGTAAATAATCATCATGGACCCATGTGGACAAGGTGATTATAGGAAATAGATGTGTGTTTCTTGATGCCATAGATACAGAAGTGGGGATTAGCTATGAATCTGTGTACATAATTGTCCAAGATCATCTCCAGTTCCATCGCACCAAATGGACACCAGTGTCTGACCAAAGACCAGAAGAATGTCTGTATGTGTCTTTGTCTCAGACATCTGCAGTACTACCATGCAGAAGGGGGTAGCTTTTTGGCCATCATAGCACGTGATGAAACACGGTCATTTTGATGACACTTTAAAATATGGGTTCAAGGGGCTGGCAATACCACTCAGATGATGTGGTAGAAGCAGTGAGAACGTGATACAACCAGGCACCAAATTTGTTTAATGACACGGGCTTAAAAAATCTGGTTCAACAGTGGAATGAGTGTCACAATGCCTGCAGAGAGTATTTTAAATAAATGCTACATGCATAGCAAATAAAAATTTAATGCTGTTTTCATATGATTGACCCTAGTACCTCCCAGATACTAGCCTATTAAGTTGCTATACCACATCTACCTAATCTAGTCATAGTCTCCTGTTTTATAACAGCTTCTACTTCAAGAATGAATGAAGGGTATTGTTCTAAATTAATACACCCACGAACAGCTGCATTAAGCAGCCTGCCTATGGGTCTTTTGAATATGCTGACATGCAAATGACTGACATGAAACATGATTCACAGTAGAAAACCATTGGCACACCTGATGATTGATCATCTTCTCTCATCAAAATTTAGCTGAAGGCAGTTTTGTGAACTGATGATAGCCTAAGCTTAATCTCACTTAGGGTCTCATCAATATTAATTACCACCATCCTTTGTAGATATGATTAGGACAGTTCTGAGTGGACATGACCATTAACAAGGACACTCTTGTGACAGGGAAAGCAGTTCAGCAGGCCTAGGCTTCCCACATGAAAATTCCATGTATGACAGGGTGTATGATTCTGTATGGTCATGTATGATCATATATTTGCCATGTACCACCATATATGTATTCATATGTTAACAATTGTATGGTGCATAATATATTTTACCTGCATTGCAATATTATGTATGATGGGCAAATGGCATCATGCCTGATATGTGGTGAATATGCATAGACAAGTCTTATGGTTATAAGTAAAACATAGCATGAGGTCAGTGGTGTATNTTTTTTTTTTGTAATGTGAGGGCATGTGCCATGCCGTGCTGTGCCTTGCCTTCATTGAACAATTCCTTCATCGGATAATTTCAAAAAGAAACACAGTTTCTGTTCCCATCTATCTTCTGAGTTGTCAGTCAAAATGAAGAAGACACTCCTACATGAGTAAGCCAAGTTTTGTCTTGAAATAGCATTACTGATGAAAATACTTGTGAAGGTTCAAGTCTATAATAATGAAACTTTCACCTTCATTAACAAGGGTGCATATGTTGAACACCATGAAACATGCATTCTTGGAGTAATTGACTGTGGTCTATGAACACTTGAAAATGAGTTGATTGCAAGTTAAGTATGGTGACTTGCATATGAATGATCATATAGTATTTGATGGATCATGGACCCTTTTTGGATACAGACATGTTTTGGGTAATCTCACCATACATAGGTATGACATGGCATATATGGACAGTATATGGTGCATATGTATGAGCCAATATATGAAAATGTATGGGGTCATATATTTTCATTCTTATATGATTTTATGTGACTTGTCAAACCCCATACACATATGTTCATATATGTATTGCACTATATGGTCATATATGCCCCTTATATGTTGGACTGGTTAAATATATGGCCATTTCATATATGGTCTTATATGAAATTTTCACATGGGTTAAGACTACGCATGTAGTAGGGTATTGTACATCTTAGGCATACCTCAACCACCCAGGACAAGCCACAAACCACATACTCTAGGCACATTCTTCATTCTTAATTTCATTTTTCTCACCTGCTGCCATATATTCCAATTCCAGGATCACATGCAATTAAACTATATGTGGAGCATGGCACTGAAGATGGGGAATCCATTAAAGAAAAGAGCATGGGAGGGGCATGCTATGCCTGTATCTAATGATTGAAAGACTTCAACATATGTTGAAACATTTCTTGCAAGTTGCAAAGCATTTGCAAGCATTTGTAAGCATACTTGCAAAATTGCAAAGTGTGCAAAAACACTGGGTACCACTCTTCCCCAAGTAACATTCATGTTAGCATACTCACCTTGGAGTTTCTCATAGAATTAATGGCACAAGCACATGGCAGAACTGATGCTCAATGAAACTGCTCTCAATTAACACAATCTACAACATGGGTCTACATTAGTTCAATGGGCTATATATTCTAAATGCTTGTAAAATTGAGGGGACCAGAAATTTTTGGGGAACAGCTTGGTGCTCATCTATGTTTTTAGATGTACTGATGACCTGCACAACTTAAGAAACTTGGAGTGTTAATTTAAATTTAAAAAAACGGACAGTTTTGTGAACTTAAAAAACGGACAGTTTTGTGAACAGGTCAGAGCCTAAATAACCAGGCCTATCGCCGTTTAACAGATGTCTGGCCACTCTACCACAGAATAATGGGCAATGCTGTCTAGTATAACTAGAGAGTGAAACCACTCTCGGGCAGGGTTTGCATGACATGAGTGCTCAAGGAGTACCCAATGAGCACCCACCTAATACTCAGGCATTTAGGCCTTAGTTATGCCTATTGTATATGAGCCACACTGACTTCGTTTCACTCTTCCCGCGCTCTGCCTACCGCCAGCAGTGAGCTGGAGAAGCCGTAGCTGACTGGATTAGGCAACAGCCTCGTGCTCGTCCATGGTGTCCGTCAACCCAAGTCCAAGGATTCTTTCGATGAGAACCGTTCACATGTGCAAGAGTCCACCAAACCGAAGAAGCCTTACGCTCTTGCCTAGGGGCCAGCAACCTTCGCTGCATATAAAAGAAAACTCCGACTACGAGGGCGCCATGACAGGATGTGAATCGCTGGGACCTTCGAAGCCACTTGAGTAACTATATGTGAGGTTTTCTCTTCCTCCTCGATTTTTATTTTATTTATCTCATTCCACAGCATTCAGTAACAGCTGGAAGTCGAATGTCACCTTAACTACTTTTTTAAATACCAAATTTTAACTAAGAACGGGAATATGTTCAAGGGGAATATCAAATAATGAAATGAATTGAATGATGAAATCAGTAGCATGCCCAGAAAATCCCAATGGGAGGGAGGGGGGTGGATGACATGAAAAATTGGCAACCCACTCTGCATAATTGGCCAAATCAAACAAGTTTTTGAGAATCGACCTGTAAAATGTATTCCAAGGGGAAAGGGGGAGGTTATGACCCCCAAAACCTGAACAGTGTTAGGCACGTTCCATGTGAAAGGTAAACAGTTTTAATTGCAAGTATACCAGACATAAATGAGACATTATTGGTCACAAGTATAATTCCTTCTCATCAATAGTATCTAATTACAAGTTACTTCCTAGTCTCTGCAACAATATTGATGCAACGTTGTAGCAGCATTAAAGTTTCAAAATTATTAAGTCCATGAAAACATGGTTTAAAAGGTTGCAATCCTTGATTTTGAACACGAGCTTACTACAAAGCAGGAGGATGATATTCAAAGTAGGTACGAAGGGGGGATAGAAAGTTCGTGGACATTTTTTTTTATAACGAGAAAAAAGAGACACTGATCTTCCAAACTCGGGCTATTTCTCGATGTAATCTCCCTTCACAACCACACATTTTCTCACCAATGGGATCCAGCGATTGGAAGCCTCCACACATCTTTCTTGAGGTTGCTGTCACTGACATCAGTGACAGACGTGCTGGGGCGGCTCGAACGTAGGCCATCCTCAATTGTGTCCAATCTTAAATCGTTCGACCCATTTGAACACCGCACACCTCTTTCAACACTTATTGACATTTTGCAGTCATCGGAAGATGGATGAGGTCATCTCATCTTTAGCAACAAGGACTTTTATCACCATATGCTATCCGTGCACACACTCGCCAGACTAGTCGTCTAACTCTGCTTTGGTTGAGACTACCAACCTGATATCAAAGAGCTAAGTCGGGCAAGGTTGTCACCATTTGAGAGTAGGTACACGATAACTTTAGGAACCAGCATTCTACATACAAAAAATAAAATCCACGAACTTTTCTACCCGCCCTCGTAAAATGGCATACAATACTCCTCTCAATTTAAAAGGAAATACCATAACATATACAGAAAAGGCATATACTCTTTACTACGTGTGAGAGGCAAGCAGTAAAGGGGCTTTTTCATGCATTATTCATTCAGGATAATGTATGAAAAAGCGGAGACCTACACACTCGACCCGTCACAGAGACCATCCAACTTAGAGACTTACTCCGCAAACGCAACTGGAACAGTTGACTTGTTTAATACTATCATAATTATGGGAATATTGAAATATTCCTACTTTTGGAAAACTGATGTCTTCAAGGAAAAACGCATTCCACAGTTTCACGAACCAA